AGTGTACTTCGTACTTGAAAAATTAGTAAGTACTAGTACGTACCCGTACCATACTTCGTAGTAGTACATATTGGGTCATTCCCGATAGTCTAGAAAGTCTAAATTTTGATAGACAGACAGACCAAATTTAGACTTTCTAGTCCAAATTTTGAAGGCCCCCCCCCCCCCGGCCTTCAAGATTTCTAAATCTAGACCGGAATCCAAGAATCAGATTCCGTTGTAGGACTCAACTGAAATGGCACGCGCCAAATATAAGAATGGTTAAAAATTTAGTTTCTAATAGAACATTGCACATGTCTCTTAAAACATTGACAAGGCGCCTGCTCTTGCCTCTTAAAACACAGGCGCCATCATACTTGACAGACAAAGTACAATGTCCCACGTCTTAGTCACTGCTCTTCTTTATCTTCGATCGAGACAAAGAGCTAACCAACTGCAGGAGGCGCTGTATCAAGGGAAGATTCCTCACACAATATTCATTCCGCGAGCAAAGAGGACGATGCCGTCACCTACCGGTCCTTATGCAACTATTCCTCCTTGCAATGGGGGGCGCTTCCCTCCAGCAGCACCCATTCCTCCCCCGGGAGGGCAATCAACAAAGAAGAAGACTGGCCGTAAGGGCGGTACTGCAAACTACACGGAAGACGAGCTTATCTCGTTGATGACCCTCATCAAGGAGATCCTCCCCATTGGTAAGAGTGATTGGGACATGGTGGCTTATAAACACGGACAAGACTGGCATGGTAGATCTAAGGAATCCATTAAGACCAAGTTCAACCGATTGAGGAGAATGAAGATGCCTACTGGGAATCCCAACATTCCCGAGTCAGTCCGGCTTGCAAGAGAGGCCCATAGATTGATTGGGATAAAGGCAAATATTGGAAATGGAGAGGAGACCTATGATCCAATCAAAGGTTACATCGATGATGAGGATGAGGAGGACTTGGAGGAGGACGCTTTGAACACCCCAGCAAAATCAAGCAACAAGACAGCGTCGACTTCCAATTCGACCGAGGATGATGAGGAGCCCATTGTCGAGGAGCCCATTGTCGTGGTCGCACGACTGCCACCAATGCCAAAGAAGAGAACATATGGAAGGCTGAAGAAGGAACTTGCTGACCAGGATGCTGTTCTTAAGGATTTCCTCATGCAACAGGATAAGAGGGAAGCTGAAAGAGCAAAAAGAGCTGTTGAGATGGAAGCTGAAAGAGTGAAAAGGGAAGACGCAAGAGACCAACGTTGGCTTACCATGGCTGAAACAATTGCCTCCTCAATGGCCTCTTCGATGGCCTCCACAGTGGCCTCCACAGTGGCGTTGGCGCTCACCAGTACTAACAAGCGCCCACGCACTGATTCCCATGGTGAAAGCAACTAATTTCGATCTTGTTAGCAATGATTAACGATTACAAGGTTAACGATTACACGGTTACGATTCAACACACAGCAAACAGCAAAATAATGAGCTCATCGATTAGCAATTAGTTCTTTCTCAGTACGCGTTACGCCGTGTTGTTCCAAATTTTTGCCGTATCGGTTTTCTTGCATACCTTTCGTGGGAGTCGATGTAACCGGAATATACTGCAATGAAGACTAATATCTTCAGCGCAAAGAGGTAACAATGCGATGTCTCAATATATAATGTAATGAAGATATACCATAAAACCAATGCATGTGAGTGCCGATCAATGCATGTGTTTTGAAGGCGAACTCCGGTTCGTGGGATTGCATCACACGTGCTTACTATGAATTTCGGTACTTCTAGTCCCGGTTTTCATTTTTACTATCAGCAAATTAGGAACAACACGGTGTAACGCGTGCTAACAAGGAACTGCTCTGCTGCTTCGTAACGTACTGCTCACTATTTCATCGTACTACTAAACTAATGCATAAGATCTGTCGTGAACTAAACAGACCTCAACGAAACTAACCAACCTCCCCCTCCACCATGGTGGACTCCTGTAAGTTTATGCTGCGTTGCTTTGCTTCGATTTGCGTTGCTGCGTTGAATCGATACGCGTTGCGTTGCTGCTTAATCGTTGCATTGAATGGATTGAATTGAATCGGAACCGAATCGTTGTTGCGTCGGTCGCGTTGAATCGTCGTTGCGTTTAATTAATCAGTCTTTAATGAATCTAACATCCTCTTGTTTGACCATGGGAATTATTCAAAGAATGCATTGTTTCCAACTGGAGACACAGTCCTCCCTGGATGAAAGTATCCAGCAGCCAACGCCTCAAGGGTATGAGGTGCCTCCATCGCCTCCCGTGTCGCCTCTGCGGGCGGCGTCTTCATGAAGACGGTCAAGATCTGGTTGTGTCCAATGGTACTGCATTGGTAATTGTACAAGTTGATCATTAAGTGAATGATCACCTTCCTCTCCCCGAAGTCCTCCAACCTAAGCCTATCCTTCATCCTTGGGAATTGCCCTTGGATCATCCTCATCCCCCACTCTGACATCTGTCTAAGTGACGTGGCGTCCCTATTTAATAGGAGCCTTTCCGGATCACCCTCTGGATCTGTTTGAGAACTTTGAATTAGGAAGGGCCTTCCTAATAAGCCAAAAGCTGAATCAACAACCACCTTTGCCCCTCCAGCAGCACTACAGTCGGCGTCCAATTGCTCCATCTTGTCATAGATGCCATAGTCACTGATGGTACTGTCATGCCACGTGCCAGGGCAATTGAAAGTTCCTATGCGGATCCTGCCATCAGGTGCAAAGACAAAGACCCCATTCACGTAAGTATCTGCCTTCCATCCATTGAAGAAGACCTCCTGTCTGAGCCAGTCTTCTGAAGACTGGATCTCTGTCTTGAGTCCATCTGCTGCGGCCCAGACTCGATGTTGTCCAAGTCTTGGATATTTTGCTCCAATTGCTCTAATATAATCATTGATTTCTTGCTCACTTGGAAGACTGACCATGGCGAGTGGATGCTTATGAAGCACTGATAGGAGGATCTTCATGGAAAACTTGATCCATTTGTACATCACAGTCGATGTGAGACCAAACGCCATTGCCATTCCTCTTGCAACAGATCCTCTAGTCCTGTACCAGAAGAGCACTAGTCCCAGGCAACAAGTTGCATTTGCTTCCCTCGGCCTTCCCTGCTTTTTTCCACTGCTTGTGGGAGCAAGAAGAACAATCTCATTGTTCTCGTTGACTGAGTATCTGTTGAAAGCTGGAGCAAACAGCTGAAGGAGATCCCTGAAGACCCTGTGGTCCACACCACAGCAGTTGAGGAGTGCTTGGTCATCCCCGGACTGGAAGAGATAGACAAAGGGGGACTCAGCATATCTACGGATGGCTATGCGTGGTGTTCTTCTGTCCCTTCTGCGTCTCTCCTCGTTGGACTTCTGTTTTCCATCCCATTCATCCTTCAAGCGTGCTCTATGCTTGGCTGCAAAGTATATGCAAAGGGTCTCAATTACACCCATTGCGTCTCTTTTGTTTGCTGGGAGGAAACTCTTGTCTTTTGTTTACGGAACAGCTCAAATTTGTGAGCATTGTGATTTTTACTAATTATTTCCGTGTTAAAAATTTCATATTTTACTTAGTACCGAAAGACATACTGGCGCGCTTTTCCAGTCTTAGTCATTGCCGTTGGCGTGATTCCAAATTCCTTAAGAGCCAAAAATTTAGTCCGTTGGGACCTTGTTTTTAGTGATTCCCGTTAAACTAAAAGTCTAAACTAGACCTTTTAGAATTTTAGACCATCTAGACTATCGGGAATGACCCATTATGTGGGTGCTAATGCTATTGCTAAGGTACATACCAAGTAGTAGCACTTGCTTACTAGTGCTCTCGCTCTCCCTCGGGTACGAATAGTACGTACGGTACTGTACCGTATGGTTGTTGGTAGGTACGAGTAAGGGAACAAATCGTTCAACAAAAGCGAAACTTTTTGATTTTTGATGCTGCGTTGAGGAATTTCTTGGCGGGTCGGAGGATCTCTGGAAGCATTTCGATCAAAAATCGTACAGAACAGAAGAAGATAGCAGCAACAGCAACACTGATGCGACCGTAAATGCTGGTTTTTGTAGAAGAACATAGTTGCTGATTTTTTTAAAATACATCATGGTTGCAATCGACATTGAAGTACGGCCAGAACAAAATGCCGGTGATGGCAACGACAGCGAATCGAGTGGAAGTAGCGCAATCGTNTCATCTTTTGTCGAAAAGCCAGTAGTTGCCTGCCAGGTGTTCAACGGTGTGTTTCTCAAGGCACCAGACCTCGACAATCCAAGCTGAAACGGTAGTACCGGTTTGACAATGCAAATCACCGAAACGATGACGAGACTGCCCCAACCCTGCGCGGATAACATCGTCCCCTTCGTAGCTAATGTCCTGAAATAATTGTTGTGACTATGCCTAGCGATCTTTCACCATTTTGACGGTCGAGTACCTGGTGCGAGTACGTCGTCAATTTATGGTGCGATAACATCTGAGAAAGAACGATGATTCAGAGAAAAAAAACATCGGAGCGGGAAGCCACGGATAAGCCCATCGTACTGCGGTGAATTTCCGCATAGTACATGTAGTACATACGTATGATAGATAGATAGATATACGAAGAAGTACGTAGTGTACTTTGTACTTGAAAAATTAGTAAGTACAAATATACGTATACTCTTTAGTGTCGTACAACTACAGTACGTGTTTACAATAAAGAGTGAGCTTATTGCTGCTCAGATTGAGCTTGTGGCTCATTCACTAAGTATTCGTGATTTATCCTCACACCCGTACCATACTTCGTACATATTATGTGGGTGCTATTGCGAAGGTACATACCAAGTAGTAGCACTTGCTTATTAGTGCTCTCGCTCTCCCTCGGGTACGAGTACGTACGGTACTGTACAGTATGGTTGTTGTTACCGGTACGTAGGTATGAGTAAGGGAACAAATCGTTCAACAAAAGCGAAACTTTTTGATTTTTGATGCTGCGTTGAGGAATTTCTTGGCGGCTCGGAGGATCTCTGGAAGCATTTCGATCAAAAATCGTACAGAACAGAAGAAGATAGCAGCAACAGCAACACTGATGCGACCGTAAATGCTAGTTTTTGTAGAAGAACATAGTTGCTGAATTTTTTTAAATACATCATGGTTGCAATCGACATTGAAGTACGGCCAGAACAAAATGCCGGTGATGGCAACGACAGCGAATCGAGTGGAAGTAGCGCAATCGTCCCCAAATTACGGCCCARAGCAGGGTCCGCAAGACAACTCGGTCGAGAGCAACTCAATAGTGATGACTTCAGATCGAGCTTGCGTCGATCGCAATCTGCATTTGTAAGTCCTGCAAACCTGATTGGGTCGGTCMACTYGTATTTGACGTTAATTTATCAATATCACCTCTTTTCAATCTTTCTGTTCCACCGACAAAATTCTAATTTTGACAATATTTTGTAACCATTTGTGTAATCCAAACTTCATAGCTCCGAAGCAAAAATGAAGTGGTAGCTATGCCACAAAAGGAGCGAGTCAAGGTTCAAATTAAAAACTTTTTTAAGCGCGTTAGAAAGTCCGCAATCAGTGATGATTCAATAGACGCCCCGGCAGATCTAGAAAAGGCTGACGTCGATTTTCCAGTCAAAAGCAGCTCGCCACAATATCGACTAGAGACAACAACCAAAAGGTCTGTCTTGTGTTGTTTCAGGGGAGCAGTCACCGCAGCCGAGTTGTCGGACATCAAACCAAACAAACAACTGGCAAGCTTTTTGCATTGGATGTTTCGTTCCAACTTTTTTATTCTATTTTGTGTCATGTGCCTTTGCTTCTTCGGGCTGATCGTATTTTTTGCGTGTTTCATCATTGCAGCAAGTGAAATGAATGAAGACTGCGTTCGTGCAGGTGAGAAAGAAAGGTTCTATTTCATTTCTCGTCGTGGCGACGCTCAGACTACAGTTGTTTTTTTTAAATGTACCGATACATATGAATATCTCATTCGTTATTGGCAATTTTTGTTTGTCGCTTGCGAACTTTGAATTCATTTGGTAGGGGGTGATCCCGGTAAAACTTTTGGGGATGCCTTCACACTCAGTTGGACCACCTTTTCGACGGCAAGTTCATAGAAGAGGGAAAAAGTTGTTTATCGAAAGTGAATGCTCTTTGTCCGCCGACTGATGCAACGATTTACTAACGATATTGTCCTTGTTTTAATGCAGGTCGGATATGGAAGYCTTTACCCAGCCTTGAGTCACGAGAATGATAGCCCAGACAACTGCATTTTTATTACTTTCATATGTTCTATGGAATCCTTTGTTGGCGTCCTATACTCCGGGTTCTGTGGTGCAATATTATTTGGAAAGGTGTTGAGGATCCAGTCCCACGCTCAGGTAATTTTTTCTGATGCGATCGTTATTCGGTATGGCAGCGGTTTACAGGAAAAACATGATGACGACCACAGCCATGATGATGATATAGGCGAAGATGGAAGCGAAGAGAAGAAAATTCCGTGTCCAGTTTTAGAATTTCGGATTGTGAATCGTTTATTTGATGAGCCTGGGGGGGAGATTATGGATGCAAGTCTCAATGTTGTAGCGAACATAAATGCCCGTGATGCCGACCCGGTTTTAGTTGATGCATTGAACTCTTCACAGCGCTCAAAAAAACTTCGAARGTATACTTATCGAAGTGACGACTTTTACGGTAGCAATAGCTATGGACATCGGCACTTAAATACCTCTGATTCCTTAATGAGTGATACTATGAGTGAGGGATCTGGACGTTTGTCATTAGACTCTCGACGGTCAAAAAAATCTATCTCTTTCGTGAGCTCTCTCATTTCACGAAATCATCGGACAGTTGACGAAGATCCATCTTCGAGGTTGGTTGGCAAGCGAATATTTTCCAAAATGTATTTTGAACAGTGCGAACATCCCTTTTTCAAACGTGTTTGGGTTGGACGGCATATCCTCAATGGAGAATCTCCACTTGTTAGGCCACGTGTGAAGCGACTCATTCGCAAAAATGACGGATTTTGGCCAGAGAAATTGAACGATTATACGTCTGTGCGGAGGAGTTTGTTATTCAATCAAATTCTTGTATCCCTCAACGGTGTTTCCAATTTGAATGCCCATGAAGTTTACGCTCAAAAAATCTACGACTTTGTTGATATGAATGTCGGTTATCAGTTTGTCAACACATTATACAAGGATGTGGATGGAAGACTCAAAGTAGACACAGATCTCATCAATGATGTTCGGGAGCAATATGGTGGGGGCGGGGAACCCTTGATTTTGGAGGAAAAGTCATAGTTTATCATTGTTTCACCTTTGGTAACCGATTGCTTGTTGATATCATAAYGCACTTTAAAAACATTGTAGTCAATCCATGGACCAGTAAATCATCTTGGAACCAAGCTGTTATAAAACTGACTTTTGGTGCTTTCTGATTCAATCCTCTAATAGTTCTTTTGTGCAGTGCGTACCAAGTAATAGTCCATGAAGTACGTGTTTACAACAAAGATTGATGAAGTACTTTGTACGTGTTTACAGCAAATACTGATGTTACTCACTAGCTACTCATGTTTTTGGCTTCCAAACTCTTACCAGGACTCTTTAAACATGAAGTAGACCAAAATTCTAACCCAAGCATAACAGGCATCCATAAAGTACATTAGTACTACTAGTACTACTGTAGTCAATGGACTATTCCTGTTCTTATAGAATCGCTAAACCTGTACTAGATTTTGGACATTTATTACTTTTATTATCACAGGAATCAAAATTTCAATTGATGGAATGAGAGGAAGGCTGGCTCCTTTGGGAATCTGGTGGAATCTTAAATACTACTACTAGTAGTAGCTACTACTACTAGTAGTTCAACATACTACTAAAGACTACTAAATAGAGGAATGCGCATAGTTTAACATAAAGACTACAAAAAAGAGGCACACGCATGATGGGCCTTTGTGTTGAGTCTTTCAACAGACTCATTCGTGAGTGCTAGAATGGCAAATTTGAGCCCACTCAAAAGTAATAAAATTTGTTATAGATGTGCTAAATTTTCGGTCTGTCAGTCTATCAAAAGTAGCAATTCTATGGGAATATCCCAAAAGTCTGATAAATTATTTCACATCGTCGAGAAGAAAAAAGAAATAAGGCTGCCGCGACTCAAAATTGAAATCAAACGTGCAAACCTCACTTTTGATCTCAACCAATATCGTACCAGATGTCTCACAACCGCACAAAACAGAAAAGCGCCAAAAAATTATGCACAGTATGTCGCACTCGTCCGTCCCCCCTTCTACCGTCCGTGCCGGTACAAACTCACTCCATGTTCGTACGAGTACGTATGAGGTTCCCATATCGTAGGAATATTTGTGTACACGTATTACGAGTACTCGTACTTGGTACGCTACAAGCACCCTCCGGTTCCTACAGCACTACATCTTCCCCTACCGTACGGTAACGAAACACATTCCGAGATTATCTTTATTTCTTGGAAGGTTTTGACATGAAAACACCCTCGTCTCTAATAGAACCAAATAGAAAAGGGAACGCTTTACAATTCGAACAAAATGTTACCACCAACTTCGTATACAACGCTGYTACTGGATATGGATGGAGTCCTAGCAGAGGTGTCACAGTCCTATCGAGCTTCAATTGTAGCGACATGCCACAAATACGGAGCCAACTCCGTAACTTTGGATGTAATAGGAGATTGCAAAGCGAAAGGCGGTTGCAATAATGATTGGAAACTTTCTCTCGATTTGATCAATCAAGATCCCAATGGACAGAAGGGACTGACTTTGGATGAAGTAACGGAGACTTTTGAGGAATTCTATCAGGGTACCGAAGGCACGCCTGGCCTGTGCGAACTAGAAAGCCTCATTCCTGACAAGAAAATCCTTGAGGAATTGAAAAAGCGATCGAAAAAAATTGGAATTGTGACAGGAAGGCCAATCAGTGATTGCGAAAAATTTCTGAAATTGCATGGATTAGATCACCTTGTGGATTGTTCTGTGTGCATGGAGGATGGTCCTGCGAAACCTGATCCTTTTCCTGTCTTAGAATGYTGCAAGCGATTGGGCGTCGAACCGTCGAAATCTGTTGTTTTGGTTGGAGATACGCCTGATGATATTCGAGCTGCTGTTGCTGCTGGTTGCAGTGGGGTGGGAGTGGCTACTCCAGAGGCAGTCGAGGAATTGGCAACGAAAGGAGAGACCTACGAGAAAGCGAAACTTTGTATAGCAATGAAGGAATGTGGAGTAGATGTCATCTTCGAACCAGGTTTTGAGAAGCTCATTGATTATTTTCCAGAGGTAGAGTAATTGATCTAAAAATCTTAATGCCATGTTTAACTTCATGAAMTAGAAGAGGTGGTAGGGATTTATGAACTAAACGAGGTGCTAGGAGAGCCAGAATCATTACTCTGGAGGAACGATACTCCCAGTTGCCGTAAGGGATAGCACCTGCAATAGAGTGGTACCAGTATGTACTAAAGTACAGAGCATGTTAGATTTGGGGGGGAAGTTGGAGAGTTTGGTCTTATGGGACTGCTGCTGCTGGGGAGTAACAATAAGAACAATCAGGAGCAGATGAGTAATAGCAGTTCTAGCGGAACAAGAAGAAGCCCTCGCAGARCCTCTATGTCATTGATTAAGATCAGTGATATTGTAWGCTCAATCACATGTTGAAATCTTTAGCAGGGGACTACCAAATCTATGCACTCCTATTCTTCAAAGTGTGCTCAGAAGGGCTTGTTGAGCAATTTGTTTTAAGTATGAGTACTAGTGTATTTCGTACCTGTWCTATAAAAAATAATAATATTTTGAGATTAAAAAAACTGCTTCTTGTACTAAATACTGTACAACTTGTCTACAAATATTTTTTGCTTCTTTTTATTGGGTGATTCCTGCTGTTATAGCTAAATTTGATAAACAGACAGACCAAAAATCTAATACATGTTGTTATAGATTTAGAATTTTTTGGATGGGTCTTTGGACCCCATCCAAAATGTGCTAGATCTATGATGGAACCCAAGCATCAAGAAAGTCCGTTGTAAGATTCAACAGAAAGCAATCCAGAACCTTAACACTACTGGACAAAATTTAGACTGAGCTATCCT